CTAAGGCTATCAGGACTCGGTCGAGTTACTCGGCCTCGTCTTAAGGACGAGGCGAGTTTTATCCGAGCAGGTTGAACCGATTTTTAGAAGTAGATATATATTTTTAGTAAAATTGTTATTTCTACAACATGCGGTCCCAAGATATAAAGCATCCATCTTAATGATGGATGCAAATAAGTGGTCCATCTAAAAAAAATTTAAAATTAACTGTCCAAATGTTTTTTTAATAACATTATTATTTTTAATTCTCAAATTTTATTTATTTTTTAATATTCATGATCTCCATGTTACAGATTACATGTCCATAAAAATGAAGTCCAAAACTCCATCTCAAAAATAGATTTTTAAGAGATCACACATTTCTACATAGATTAATAGAAACGATCTCCATAGCTTTATGTCACTAATAGATTATGAGTTCATGAATGGCGGTATAGGTTAGTGAATGTGCGTTCTTTTTTACAGTGTTAGTTTGTGAATCCCCACAAGGCAAGGCATTGAATGGCGTTCTATTCCTATTTTTACTCAGCCCTCATTTTTTTAAAATGGTGCCCTCTTAAAGTGTTTGGTCTTCGATGCCCGTTGAATCGAATCGAATACCCTCTAGCATTAAGAGGCATTTAGTCTAGGGGAATGATTTTATGCAATAGTCGTATAGTAGTATAATGCAATCATTTTTCAAAAACAATGTTAGAGACATTTGTTTGACACAAATTTTTAAATGTACACCCTTTTCATTCTGAAGAACAATCACAAAAAACAAAATTTTGAAGAAATGCTCTACAAAGTTTTCATTCTAGCCCAATTACTAAAAGCCATTCATTTTATTGAGATGGTTAGATATTGGCCTCAGAAGGATTTTTTTATTCCCAAAATTTTTATATAGCGTTATCATCATTAGATTAATAATGCTAAAAATAAAAAAGTGATTTTGAATTTATTAAGGCCTAGATCTTGAAATTCACCAAATAGATGGTTGAGATTCATTGTTGGATGCGTACTAATTTTGACCAGGGTGCAAATTGAAAAAAAAGTTCGTATGATTTGATTATGAGGATGAGAGGTGTGGTTGCATTATATGAGGATGAAGAGAATGTGTGTGCAAAACTTTAAAAATACAAAAGTGATTTTGAATTTGTTAAGGCCTAGATCATGAAATTCACCAAATAGATGGTCGAGATTCATTGTTGGATGGGTACTAATTTTGACCATATCTAAGGTGCAAATTGAAAATTAAGTTCACTTGATTTGATTATGAGGATGAAGAGAATGTGTATGCAAAATTTGGGGTCATACAAATGTGTAAAATATGGTTTTCTAAAGGTGTAGTTGCATTATATGAGGATGAAGAGAATGTGATTTGGGGTGGTTGCATTATACTACTATACAACTATTGTATTAGATCATTTCCCTTTAGTATATCCACCACACCATTCAACTTTTAATGTTAAATATAGGAACACTATATTATATATCTACTCTGCACTCTTTTTGTGGTGTATCACTATAATCTTTTCTTGAGAAAAAATAATAATAATAATGTCTTCGCCTCTTTCCAAAAAAAAACACTTTCTTGACAGCTAGATCTTGTCTTTACAAAAACCACCGTTCCTCTATCTCGCTCCCTAAAGGCACGTTCTCTCTTTGGATGATCTACTTCTCTAGAAGCTAATCTTTTCGGTAATTCTTAACTAGTCGAATGCACGTAGTTTGCATGTAATAAATTCATTAAACATAAAAAAATTGTATGAAGTTAATTTCAATTTAAAATAAAAGAATAACTAGTATAGATAGAATAAACAATACAAAATAAATACAATATGATATTATTAAACAATCACTTAAAATTAATATACCTATTTAGTCTCCTCCAATGCCTGAACATATTTTATCATCTAACGTAATTACGAACCTTTTTAAGTTGCTAAACAAACTTTCTCCAACTTTAATTTTAGCCTCACAAATTAGTTAGAAGTTATACATAAAGATGTTTATAGCACCAAAAAATAAAAAATAAAAACTTAACATAATAGAAGTATGTTATTCCAAAATCTATCATATTAAAAGCATGTGATTCCATATCAAGAGTCAAATACATGCAAAAGGTTTGGCAAGTCTATATAGACACCCCACTAGAAATGCGGGCCTATTAATGAATCTACTTTTTAGATGATTTTTAAGGATACATAATCTCTAACATTGAGATCATGAATATGAAAAAATAAGTAAATTTAAAAACTAGAAATAATAATTCTAGTAAGGAAACATTTGGACCGTTAGGTTCTATTATTTTTAGATGGAATACCCACTTGCCTCCATCTTTAACTGCATATGTAGTCATGCGGTCAAACAATTTTCCTTATCTAATTTGTTGTTTTAGATATTTTAGTTTAATTAAATCTAAATGAGGCCAGATCTTTATAGCTTTGAACTTGTTTTAGACTTGTAATTTGACCGAGCGCAACTATCTCTAGTAATTTTAAAAAAATAGCAACCTACAAATAAGAACGTGGTTTGTATAGAGCCTTGGCTCTAAACAATCAAATTAGAGTCTATCTTCAAATAGTATCGAGAAATGTAGTTTTAATATCGAAAATCTTTGTGATAGCCTTAAAATATATTTTCAGAATTAATTATAAAGTTTAAAGCTTCAAAATTAGTCTAAATCGACATATCTATGAAAACTTGAAAATCTTGAAAATTGACCGTCTAAAAATGTGTTACAACATACACTATTTCCAAAACTTCTAATCCATTTTTTTCTTATGTCCATGCATCTGGATGTCGAGATGATCAATTTTAAGATATTTGGACATCAAAATAACCTCTTCTAGTGAATTTTTTGATGTAGGCTCAAATTTGATTGTTTAGAGCGTCGGATCTATATAAACTTTTCCCAAAAAAAAAAAACGTTTGTGAATCCAAGGAGATCTCATCCAAAGTCAGAGTTTGGATGTAAACAGGTCAGATTGATTCAATCATTAAGACTTCCCTGAATTTATCTTCCTATTTTTATTTTATTTTTTAAAAAAATCAAGGAAGTATTTGAGGCATCCTCGATCCGATCCGAAGGCCAGAGCCTTTATCGACTGGAATGAAGTTGCTAATGTTGTGAGACTCGGTTCGCGTCGCTTATTATAAGGGAGCACCAAAAAAAATTTTCGGGAACCTTTCCCCCTTGGCCTTATGTTTCTGAGTTTCGTATTCTCTAAAATTTTATGATTCTAGGTTTCAAAAAAGGAAAAATAAAAAAAAAGGATTATTAGTTTTCTTGCATCTTAAACCTGCTTGTCATCTCCCTTGTTCTCCACACCACTGCACCCACACACGTGTGCCCATTTTCCACACATATCTACTGATAAAAACTAGGTCGAAATTCTTCAAACCTTTTTGTGTGGTGTTTTGCTTTGCCAAACCGTATTTTGGTTTGTCTGTAATTTGTCTGGTCTGTTTTAGCTAGGTCTAAGCCATTAGGTCTAGCATAGTATAGCAGTTATGGCTCAGGACCAAACCAAGATGCGGTCATAGGTCTAGGATACTAGGCCAATCTTAGGGGCATCACCACGGTGCTTCCTCAACCCATAGTGCCCATGTGGGGACCTCCAATCACAAACCATGTAGAACCACCACAACTAGTTACCCAGGTCTCCAGGTTGTCGGTAGCCTTACTTTCATTGTTTAAGAACTGTGGATCACCAAGTCCTTAGGATCCATGGCATTTGAACCAAGGGGTTAGCTCAAGGGCAACCCTTCAAGACCTAGGGATCAGGCTCAAGTCAAGTCAACATGGTTAAGGCAAGTTAAACATGTAAAACCTTGAAACACTTAGGTTAGTTGACCCAAACTTGGTTAACCTCGATGCCCAATCACCCTAGCAGCATCCTAGCCCTAACAACAGTAGGTCAAGGACGAACCGAGTCAAGCCTCGCATAAGGCTAGTCACCATAGAAACTTAGAGGTTCCAAGTTTTCATATAGTCATAAAATAATGTTCAAAAACCATGTTAGACCCATTTTTTTACCCCAATTTCTGTTTTCCATTCTAATGAACAATTACAAAAAGAACAATTTGAAAACACATTCTAGAAAGTATTTTTTGTTTAGCTCAATTAATGCAGGCCACTCATTTTAATGAGATGATTAGAACTAGGCCTTAGAAATTCTTTCATTTCCAGATTTTTAGATAGCTTTATTTTCATTAGATCAACAGTGTTAAAACAAAAAAAAATGCCACCCCTAAGATCCCTCAAACGTATTCATTCATCATCTTGTAGATACCTAATTAACTCATCCATAACTAAAATAACGAGATATGGGCTCAACTCGTAGGCATATTGTCACTGAAAACTCACTTGTTTTTCTGCTAGTGGTCTACACATTGGCTACTACTCCCTTGCACATATCTCTCACCATGTCAATATAACATCTGGAGACTTCTTTCTTTTTCAACACCAACCAGATTAAATCTCTATGTACCCTATTGTAAGCTTTTTCTAAAGGGTTTGGTTAAGCTACACCATAAACTCTTAAAGTGCTCAACATTTTTAGATATTTAGATACCCTTATCTTATAGTATATTAACTTGTTGTTTAAGGGTATTTTAAGTAATTAGTCAAAGGTAAACTAGAAATTCCTAATATAAACAAATGCATTTATTAACAATAGTGGATAATAACATCACCGATATGGTATTTGAAATCACCCACAAAATGCATTAATTGTTTTGAACTACTAATAGAATGTCACTATTTTCTTATAAAAATATCCATTCTAACTTTCCAAATGACCAAAAATGCCCCTACTTGAAAAAATTTGTATTACAATTCAAGGGTATTATAGTGTCCACAAATGTTGAGCACGGTCTACACGACCAAGTAGTGTAGCGTAATAAACCCTTTTTTAAATCAATAAAGACTATGTGGGGTCTTTTTTCTTCTCCCTAAACTTCTGAATCAGTTGCCTAAATAGGAATATAGCCTCAACTGTTAATCTACCTGGCATAAAATTAAATTGATTTTTTAATACATTCAGTCAATACCTTAGTTATTACTCAATCATTCTTTACCACAACTTCATAGTTTGATCCCTCAATGGTTTCTACGAGTTTATATGTCTCATTTGTCCTTGTAAATATGTACTACAAAACTTTTCCTTCATCCATCTTCCATTTTCTTTGTTCTCAACATGTTGTTGAACAACTTCGTAAGCTAGCATATGCCAATCTCTCTATGCATTTCTAAAAGTATATCGGGATACCATCTAGTCCAAAAGCCTTTCCTATCTTCATCCTCCTCAAAGCTTTTTTCACTTCAGATATTTTAATCATGTGAATATATCTATTACATTCGCTAAAGGTTCCTCTAAGTAACGTTTGCCCATTGTGTTCGCTATTTAACAATTTTGAAAATAAACTCTCCAACTTTTCTTAACCTTGTCATCTTTCACCAATAAACTCTAATCCTTACTCATAATGCATTTAATATGGTCTAGGTCCTTTATTTATAGCCAAATTTGATGGAGTTTCTGATGGAGAAATCTTTCTTTGATTTGAGCTCTAAACTAGTAAAAATATGAAAATCCATAGAGAATGTGGGGATTAATCGAATTACAATCTAAAGAAGAGAAGTTTGATCTTGGCAGATCAGTTTCTTCCTTGAATTGCTGGCCGTACCAACTGATTTTCTACACCAAAACAATATTAAACTATTGCTAATGGATCTAAAATAAATTATAAATGAAAAGGAAAATAAGCAAAGAACTTACGCACCCAAGCCAGTGGGCCTGAGACGCCTGAAACCTAGGCTTAAAGTTTAAACTCCTGGTTTTAAAGGTTGAAGGCTCAAGCATGGGAGTATGGTTTAGGGTTTTTTTAAGCTCGAATTCTCTAGAGTTAGGGTTTTCTCTATCATGAATTAAGGTTAACTAGGGTTTTTAGGATTTTCTCTCTCAAAAATCAATTTCTCTCTCTTAATGGCTAAGCCCCCAAATGGTGGATTTTTAATTTTTTTTATAGAGCTCCAAAAGAGTTTTGACATGGTTTGGATGCTTATTCGTCATTGTTGTCTCGAATTTGTCTATCAAATCTGGTCAAATAAATTGACGACAGAATATGTGTCATTTAGGGTCTTTTCTGGCTGGATGATGACATTCTTGTTGTCTAGAGATTTTTTCCCGATGCCACAAAACCCAGCGTCTCGACCTGGACAAAATTTGTAGCAAATGATTTATTCGGGCGATAATATTCAACACGTGATTCTTAGACCGTACGATCTTCTCTACAATTTAAAAAAAAAATTGTGTCAATTTGGATGATATTTGTGGGGTTTAGAGGGCTAAGACTTTCAGATGTTGGTTCTAAATTTTCTGGTCTCCTATCAGTGTCCAGTTGGTTCCCTATATTTTTTACGCGCATGGCTCTCTGGAATGATTGTGCGGAGTGTTAAGTCTAAAAAGTTGATTATGCTCTACTAGGTTATGTTGGTCCCTAGGGTTTATTAGGCTCGTTTGGTTCATAGGTTTGAGGAACTTTGAAAAATTTGCTAATTTCAAATTTTGGTGTATGTATCCTTATACGTTATACTTTATGTCTTTCATTTTGTTAGTTTGAAAACATCTTTAACTTATTTTATTCTTGGTTTCTTATATAGTTTAATATATATATCTTAAGTTTAGCCTTACTTATTATTTTTTTAGTGTTATTTGTATCATTTTTATATTCTTTTAAGTTTTAATGGTTTCTACTACATTGTCAATTTCTATGAATCTTACCACCAAGTTTCCTTATAAAGAGTCAAGTTCTCTGCATATGAAAGAGAGAACTCTCCTCACAACTTGGGATGGGTAATCAGGTCGACCTAACTTAGGTCTGGGCTGGGTCCTATTTCAGGGTCGGGTCCGAAAGTAGGGACCTGAACCTCAAGTCCGATCAAGTCTGGTTCTAGG